TTTTTTTTTTTTTTTTTTTTTTTTTTTTTTTTTTTTTTTTTTTTTTTTTTTTTTTTTGTAATAATTTATTTGAGCTTATTGACTTACTGTATAAACAGTGAGAAGACTCACAATGAAACCCATCTTGATTGAAGGCCAAAATTTGCAGTTATTTTATAAGCTATTTCAGTCATTTTCAGAGTATTTATATTACTTGAATTATTCTAATTGTTAAGGGAGTTGAAAATGATTGATTTAAGACATAGTCAACTTAAAATTAGACATATAATTATCAAACCTATACGCAATCTCAAGTGGTTAATTAAAAAGTATATACCTAAAAATGCACCATTTCTCATTTATAATAAATGAGAATTTAAATTTAATAATGCCACATGCCCTATTTGATAAGAAGAAACTAATTTAAATAATTTCTCTTGTTTAATTTAATGCAAAATTTAGAAACTCGGATAATTAAAAAAAAAAAAAAAAAAAACTAAACAAATCATTAAGTTAAAACCAGAGCAAGACAAGAACCAAAAGTTGAAAGAGGTCATTCGAATTCTATGCATGTACATGCAACAATCTGAAATCTCGGACAATAATGGAAGTAGGAATAGAATAAAGCTACAAAGTTCTTCATTTTTGTCACTAACATTGAATTAAAAGTTGAGAGAATGCAGATAGGGAAGGGTTAGTGGGGAACAGAATCTACACAGATTTTGGTTGATTCCTTTTCACTTTTATGTCTTTTGATGATCTTTCAGAACAGCCTCGTTAATGGGGTGTCCAAAAGGAAGGCTACAAGCAAATAATAGCAGAGAAGAAGATATTGATATTCTGACAAACATCTCACTTAATGGAGCACAACTCAACTTCATTCATTCATTCATTCAAATACGTGTAGACAAAAAGCATGTTGCTCAAATAGTAACATCAGCTTATTTACAATATCTTAGTTGTTGGCCTTTTACCTTTAAAGAATGCAACATTTCAACACTAGCCCCTTTTGGTCTACTCGTCCATCTTCATTACCTGCAACAAGTAAGTTCTCCACACTTAATTACTAGCCAGTGTGTAGTTGACAGGAAAGATATTATGGAAGTTGAAGACATCACAAGACAAGCAACTGAATGGGCCTTAAAACATTTTAAGAATCATGATCGAACTTCACTAGCAGAAGCCACAGCCACTCCAAAGTAACGAGACATCTAAAAATAGTCCCCACTGGTACGGTTTATCAGATTCGACCAAATGATGTCACTTTAACAAGACGGAGCTCTGTCAAGGACAGATAGTTAAAGTTCTTCATGCTTTCCATATATGGTACCACTGGAAGACATCTCATGAACCCACCTGATGGATGACACTGAAGTGTCACGCCTGATATGCCAGCACCACTAACAGCTCTATAAAAATCCTCTAATTTAAACAGTCCGTTGCATGATGTGAAACAGAGTTATGAAAGATTAGGACTTTCGCTTTGATTCTTCAAGCTCTCCTCGTCAGATCATTGAATTGTGTTTATTGTTGGACAAACCCTGCAGCAGTATTTTTGGCATTCGTGACCCTATCCAGACCTATTCACACATAGCCTGATCGATCTTATCTTACCCAACTCAAAGATATTTGGTTGTTAGAAAACACATGCTAGCTAGGTAGCCACTATTGATTTGATCCCAAAGTCTCTTATTTTTCACTTTCTCCAAAACCGAGTGGTTGTGAAAGATCTTGATTCCATAGGTATAATAAGCACAAATACATCAGTTTGGCTAGCTTGTCCATGTCCAACATATGTCGGACATTTAGATGCTCCAAAACTTGTTGGACGCAGATGTGTTAGACATTAGTTGCACTAAAGTCAATATAGATCCAGCATTTGTTAAACACATATATAACATTTATTAAGTATACTAAATTGACATGTAATAATAAATTTTGGGAGTGAAATACATCAAAATCATTCTTTTCATATCCATGCATACACAAACGGACTTTGAATTGCCTTGTATTGAAATGATACATATTTTAAAAACGTATATTTTAATAAACATGTCCATGTCCTAGATTTATACAAAATGACATTGTAGTGTATGTGTTGTATTGTATTGTATTTGTATCTCATATTCGTATATGTGATTCTTAGCTCCCTAGGGTGAACAGTTACCATTCCACAATTTAACAGAAAATAAATGAATTAAATAGGGCTATCATGCAGAAAATTCCTACTTTGAGCCTCCCTCTGGCCTCTCACATGCACTTGTCCTTCTCGACTAATTAGGAGGCTACTGTCTTTACTTGGGTGTGCCATCTGGAGTCTGGACGAGCCCATAGATTTTGAGAGACCACGGAGGATGTTTAAATGAAGCAAGTTACATACTCCCAACGCAGAATAATGCTTCTGAAATCTCTGTTCCTTCAAGCATATCCCCATACCCTCTTTCTTAAATTCAATATGCCTTGGAAATTTAAGAGAAGAACAGAAATTAAAAGTTATCACCTAGTGGGACGGGAGGTTTCCATTCTTGTTGAAAGAGGTAATCCTGAGAGAGGAGGCCTAAAGAACACAAATACAGCTTTGATGTCGAAATGGAGATGAGTGTTTAATTCAAAGGCATAACCTTTATGGGTTAAATTTTCTATCAGTTCATATGGGCTTGATCAAGAGGCTGAAAACCGTAAGTTCTCACTGTCCCAAGTTCTTGAATGCATATTTCTTCTATATGCATTCAGGAAACAGGATTATCCTTGAAAGTTAATGACCAGAGAGGATAGAGTTATGTTTTGGAAAGCATATCGTTTGAAGAACAGACATTTCCTATTATTTACCATAGACTATGGGTTGGTAGAGTTCCAAAGAATTATTCATAAACTAACAATGGCTCAGTGATGAAGGTTCCTGAAAGTAAATTTCACAGAACCCTATTTGAAGCAGAGACCAGAAGTGGGCTGCTCTTTTTAACTGAACCCAACCAGCACCAAGGTTATGGAATTGAACCTTGGATATGTCAAGCCAATTCACTTGTAAGTCCTTTTCAAACAGCTTTCACATTAACACCATCCTCTCAATAGCATACGAATGCCAGAAAGTCCTTCCCTTGCACTTTAGTGCCGGAGCGTAGTTACACAAGAGACAGAATTAGGATGGAATTCCCAAGCCTAGCTTTGACTCTTAAATGACACGTTAATGTATAGATGTTTGGAAGACCAAGACCACCTTTTATTTTCTTGCCCTCCCAATTCATCCTGCCCGTTTAGATTGTTGGATAGATATGGATTGCAATGGTGTTTCCTCAGGATAGCAAACAGGCTATTTCCAACTCTTTGAAGCCATAACTTCATACAAAACTGAAGTCTAAAAGTTAATGCCATGAAAGTGATCTTGTAGGAGGTGAGAGCGAAAAACGAAACCACACAATTTTGAAGACAGAATGCGGGAACCTAGATGTTTTGGGATATAGCTAGATTGCTAGTATCAAATTAACATACTCTCTCAAATCATTTTTGCATGTAGATCTTGAGTGTCATCTCTGAACCTCCTTCACTGCATAGCCTTCTTGGTTATACCCCTCTCGACAGGATGAAACAAATCTCATATTCCCTCAGGTACATTTTTTTAATAAGATATAGTTTCTCAAGCATGCAAATCTATTCAATCTGCTGTATGTACTAACGAGAGGGGTGTGCTGTCCATAATGAGAAGTGAATAAATGAATAAACTCACCTTCAGAAGGCTGACTTAGTCTCCTGTTCTGGGGAGAAGTCATTTCTTTCTTCAATTGCATTAATATGTCCTCCATTGTATGCTCCCTTTGCCAATTAGATAGCATGGGGAAAAGGCTTGGTTCCACCTAGTCATTCAGCTAAGCTGTTAATTTATTTTCTTCACAATGCAGTAAGTGTTTCACAAAATCATCACATACCACACCAGTTTCTGGATTGACACAGGTCATATTAATCCGAGTTTGAAATCTCACGCTGGGAGGATTATCAGGATAATCCTGTCCACAGAATAGCTTGAGTTGATAAATCCGTCCTTCATGAACAGTCTGAAAAGCAAGAAAACAACGATTCAATTTACAATTCTATTCGCGCTCTCCCCGACAACAACAATAATAAAGAAGAATACATCAACTCCAACCAACGCAATGATGCTGCAATGCTCATTTTCATCAATATGAGAAAGATACTAAAAAATACCAATTTTCTTTTGTGATGAATTTTCAAGGTAAAGACGAAACTTAGTTATGTAACTACATTTCCCAAAAATTCAATTATCTAAATTTTGATGATAACAAAGTTAACAATACTCTTTAGAGTATGATATTTCCATCATTCTTTGAAACTATCCATATCAATATTTATAGCAGTCGACCCAGATGTCATCAGAGACAATAAGAAATGAACAAAATGGATGAAAAATTAACTTACATTAGGTGGCCCTATAATTGTTCCCGTCCAAGACGCCATATAGATATCATCAGCATCATCCATTCCATAACTCACAGTTCCATCCCCGATTCCTTTTTCACCTCTTTCAAGTTCTTCCAGTAATCTGAAGTTTCGGGGAACTGTAAAAATGATAATAACAAATAAACAAAATTAGATCTCATGGTGCAACAATTATAAACTTCTTTGAACAAGGTGAAAAAAATTCATTAAGATGTATGACGAGTTCTCATACATCGTCATTTACTGTCCTCAAACCACCACAATCTTTCGAAGAACAAATTACAGATTGTTGAAGAAATAACATGAAGATAGCAACGGAAACTAAACAAATAGATTCATTTTCAAAATGTATCTATCCAATGTAAAGCAGACAACATAAGATAAAGCGAACCAAATGATTACTTCAATTAGAAAATGAAAAGAAAATGAAACGAAAATAGTCTCATCCATCCATATCACCACACTCTTCCAATTTGGAGTAAACAAAAAAATCCAAGCATATCCCAAGCACAATATTTCCAAATTCACTAACGTAATTGCCAAACATTGGCGAGAGAGTGAAAAATCATAATAAAAGTTGATTCCCGAACAGAACAAACTCCAACATCCCGAAAAAGAACAAACAAAAAAAGGCGTTGCAGAATCAGAATTCGCATCAGAAAGAAGAAAAAACCTAACAAGATAGAAATTATCGAATTGTGGAATCGGATAGATTGGGGTTTCAAAGACTCACCGACTACCTTCTCGGCCTCGTCACCCATTTTAGACGATCGGTGTCTGAGCTAGGGCTCCCAAACTTAACTGTAAGAGAGAGAAAGCGTGCGATAGAAGATAGATGAGAGAGAGAGAGAGAGAACGGAGTAACACAAGAAATAATTAAGGAGTCAACTACTGTTCGGTACTCGGAAGAGGCAAAAAGCAGAGTAGTCATGTGCTTCGCAGCCTATGGTACTTCCCCTGCACCTGCAGATCACTGCCGTTCCATTGATCTGCTTGATTGACAGCGGCTAAGGCGGTGGCATAGATCTGATCATAACAAACTTATCATAGAGATTAGGAAGACAGATTTGCAGGATTAACTTAGATATAAACAACAAAACACATGACGTTTCTGGCTTCTGTATTTTCCTGGATTAACTTAGAGCGTCCAGAAATCTACAATCTTTGAAGCCCATATGATCTTCTGAGCTATTGGGAAATCCAGAAATTTAGCATCTTTGGAGCCCACATGATCTTCTGAGCAATTGGGGAATCCAGAAATCTACGGATCTTTGAATCCCACATGATAGTAATACTGCAATGAAATTGATTTAACTTGGATATGGCATAGCTACTAATACTGCAATGAAATTGAACACATACATTTTGAGAAAGGAACGATGATACCAAGAAAGAACTCCCAAGTTTTTTGAGAAGAATCGTAAGTTTTACCTCAGAGAGTGCTAATATTACGCAAACAGCCTAGCAACATAAGATTGTGGAGAAAATCACAGCAACATACAAAATTTGGGTTTATTCTCTAATTGAATCACTCATATTCTGCAATTAGCATCTTTGTTTGACTATGTTCTTCACAACCAATAAGTTTATAGCCACATTTGGAGACCCCAAAAGAACAATAAATATAACACATTCTGTTCAAATACGTGAATAGATAATCGCGTTGGTCTCTCAGGCAATTTATCAAACAGATAGAGTGCATGATACAAAATTTTAAATTACCGTACCAGCTTAGACCCATCCCTTGCAAAATCCAGGCTCGGGTTGAATTCTTTTGCACCCACTATGGCATTCAAACAAGGTACTCAGTCACAAAAATCCAAAATTGATATTTGATGGCCCGACATCCTCTTACCTCCTTTTCTACGTGGTCACCATATCTGCTCATCACTTCTTAAAAGTGAAGACTATCTCTACATATATACACAAATCATCAGTATGTTTTGTCCTCACTGGCATGCATTCTACAAAACTTCATGCTTAATCATAGAGTTTCTATTATTGAACCCTCAAAGGAAAAAGAAAAAAATGTGCAACTTATTGGTATAGATAGTGACTCTCCATTTTTAAAATTTTCTTTTTTTTTTAAAGTTATTTTAATAGACTGAAAGCATTATATTTAATCATGGAATTAGTTTTTGAATAGTAAAAAAATACTAAATTATAAAATTAATCGTTTATATGATAGAAGAAAGTTAGAATTTAGTCTCTATAATTTCAAAAATATATTAAAATTATTTTTTATATAAAAGAGACTATTTAAAATAAATTTATGAAATAAAGACTATTTATAAAGTTTTATTAAATAGTGACATTTCAAATTTAACCTAAAAAAATATAGCCTACCGACTTTTAGAATCTTCTTGGGCACATGAAGGGCGATCTGGAAATTGGCTTAAAACATTAGGTAAGGGTAGAAAGGTCTTTTGGGACCCATATGTTTGGAATTTTTATCCTTTCCCCCTTTTTGTAATGGGGTGGGGGCAAAAGTTTTAATCAATTTTTTTTTTCCCAATATTCTCAAAAATATCATCCTTTAAAATATTCCTATTTTATTAAATATTATAATTGGAAGGGTAAGAAACAAATATAAACACGTAATGACAATTGAACGTCCTTTTCATTTTACCTTTATTCTTGCTTTTATAATTTCCAAGACAAATTTTAAAAACAAAGTTTATTCAATAATGTCCTCTTCTTTCCTTCTTTCTTTTCATTTTAAATAATATTTCATAAATGCTAATACACTTTTTAAATATTCTTCTTCATTAATTCATTCAAAAAGGATATTGATTTGAAATATTAAACCAATTTAACGGACTTAATTACTTTAATTACTTTAATTACTTTAAATATTCTTCTACTTAAGCTAACTTGAAGTCTCTATAAGAATGATAATGTATTCAAGTACAACCAAACTTCTCGACAAAGATTTGTATAGACGTGAATAATAATGTATTTACAAACAATGCTCAAGTCTTTTGCTAGGAGCACTAGGGGAGGTTTCGATGTGAAATCTCACAATTCATCCCCCTTTGGGGCCAGTGTCCTCGTTTGTATTCTTCCTCCTCTTCTAATCGATGTGAGATCCTCAGAATCCATCTTCCTTTAGGGTCCAATGTCTACTCAGTGTCTAGTTCTGATACCCCGCTACCAAATATTGTCCTCTTTGGACTTTCCCCTCACCTCTATGGACTTTCCCCTCAAGGTTTCTAAAACGCGTGTGCTAAGGAGAGGTTTTCACACCCTTATAAATGATATAAATGATGTTTCGTTCTTCTACCCAACCGATGTGGGATCTCACATAAACCTTCTCTCTTTCTTTAAGACTCCGACCATATAAATCAAGAACGAATACTCAGGCGGAGATAAAATAGATAAAATAGTGTTAAGAGATGTTTGTATTGGAGCAAAAGTAAAAAGTATTTAAAATTGAAACAATTAACTAATATGGTGAATTGTTGAAGAAACACAATCAATCAACAAGGTTTGGATAACTTCAATTTAGGCAAAAGAAAGAAGGGTGTGGAAGAGTGAAAGTATTGATAAGAGAGCTCAGCCAATGTCCTATCAGTTGCAAGTGGATTGGGTGCCATCTTTCATTTCATCGATATCTATTTGTATTATTTCAAAATTGATGGTAACATAACGAAAGAAAACAAACTATCTTTGCCTACAGCAGCTATAATTCACAATTGATCATGAACAGCCCCAACCCCCATGTACAGCCCAGATCAAGCTTTTGTCAATGTCATGAACATGGCGAAAAGATCAAACCATTTAATTTTAGTTTTCCTCTCCATATTTACAAGGAACAGAAGACAAGACTGAGCTCACAGATCATCAGTTGCTAGAAGATCATCCTCCTTTTGCTCTCCCATGGATGTCAGTCTTTCAACTAAGATATCTAAAGCTTCCTTCATCCACCAGTGTCTGCATACTTCTCTAGCTTCACCAACACTCATCTGAGTATAAACAAAGTTCAAATTCCATATTAGACAATGATCTTAACAATCGTGTTTACAATGAAATCTAACAAGTTTTGATAGCATATGAGCTTGCAGAACATACCCAAATTCTCTCTCGAACATGCTTCTCAGGCCACAGGTCTAGCTGCTCCTCAACAAATAAAGGGAACATATAGCCTTCATAGTAAGTGCCTTGGCTTTTGCTGATGAATCTCCATTTCCCAAGTTGAGACTGTAACATAACAAAAAACCAAATCCACTTTAATTTCATGATCTTTCATGGGTTTCAAGAAGATTTGCAAAAGACAAGACACTAACCTCAACTTGGCCAAGAACTCCAGCTTCTTCAAGTGATTCTCTAGATGCAGCTTGTTCTAAGGATTCATCAAGCTCCCAACCACCCTAAAATGGGAAAAATCTCTCAATGACAAAGAACCAAATTGGTAAAAACAAGTAGTAATTCACAGAGTTTTGTGTTTGTGAAGTACCTTGGGGAACATCAGGCCTTGACCCTTTTGAGAACTTATCACAAGCACCTCGTATTCATTATCAATCTTCATCCCATCTTCATTGTATTTAAATCTGTACGGTATACAACTGCAATAATCCAACATTTTGGCATGTTAATCGACTAAAAATGACAGAAACAAACAGAACAAACTGAAAAAACCCAAAATCAAAGAAGAAATGAAGACCCACCCGACAACTTGGCGAAACCCCATATGATTATATCTCTGCAATTCTCTTCCAGTACGAGAAACCAAACAAGCCATGTTCTCAAATCAAAGAAACGAAACGAAACGAAACAGAATCTTCAAATCAAGCCCAGAAAGCAGAGAGATCTAGATGTAATCTGGCGGAATCAATGAATCGAAGATGAAGGTTAAGGAAAGAAAGAAAAAACCAGATTGAAAGGCAGAGGATGAGGATGAGGATGAGAAAAGGGTGGATGAAGGGAGGCATATATAGAAAATGGCGGTTGGTGATGGGATAACTGCGAGGGCAAAAGTACGCGTAAAAAGGGGGGCGGATTGAATTTTGAAGGGGGTCTTTCAGTGCGTGCGATGAGCGTAAAGACAGCGTATAGCCCACAAGCGAGAGCCAACGGCACCCACTTGGCTTTGGGTCGCGGATGGCGACATCGCAATCAGGCTTTTCTTGCATTTCTTCTTCGTTGTAATCAGCTTCCGTGTCGTTTCCTTCAACAGCTATTTCACGCTGCTAAGCGAGAGCCAATGCACCACTTGGCTTGGGTAACTCTTTTGCTTTTATGGCTAAACGTTGACTCTTTTTGGGCTTTCTATACCTTCCTCCTTTTCATTCACACCAATCTCTCTCCCTATTTTGATTGCAACAAATCCAATTTTGTTAAAGGATAATATTTTAATAATATAAGTCGCAATGACGGTGATAGTCACTATAACACCTCAAGTTCATCGCTAGTAGATATTGTCATCTAAACCCCTCAAAGTTTGTAAAACGCGTCCGTTAGATAGAGGTTTCCACTCCATTCGAGCACCATTGTCCTTGCTCGCACACCGCCTAATGTCTAGTTTTGATACCATTTGTAACAATCCAAACCCACCGCCAGCAAATATTGTCTTTTTGCGTTTTTGCTTTCAGATACTTTCAGGCTTCCCGTCAAGGTTTTTAAAACGTGTCTGTTAGGTAGAGGTTTCTATACTTTTATAAAGAATATTTTGTTCTCCTCTCCAACCGATGTGGGATCTCACTATCAAGACTAAAAATGTCCATTTGACACGTGATAACATGTCTCAGTAAGAAGTAGGGAGAGAGTTAGAAGAGATTTCTCCCCCATTAGCTAAACGGTTCGTTTTTTCCCTAATCCAACTCATTTTATATACATATAAATATATCACAACATAACGTCAATACTATATCTATTTCTTATTTCTATTTATTTTTAATATTAAAATTTCAGTTTTTATATATATATATATTAATAGAAACTCGATTAAAAAAATATAAATCATCCATTAAAAATATATAATTTTCTAAAAATATATAAGAAAAAGAGGGTGTTTAATTTTTTTTTTTAATAAACTTGTATTAAAAAAAACATTTTATAAAACAAATATTATCTTGTGGCCACGTCATTATAGATATTAAAAATATATTTAAAATTTGAAAAGCATTTAAAAACAAAATTGTTGATGAGCTGGAATCCCGCGTTAAATTGGTATGGATTTTGTGTCCAAATTAGTAAACAGTGAAAAAAGGGAAAGGAAATAAATATTCTAGAAGATTTATTAATATTATAATTACCGTAAATTGATTTTTTTGGGTAAATATAAGTCAACACATAATAACAATAATGATGTCTCCATTAAAATTCAAGTCAAATAAAACAATGCTTGGGCAATGATCACAAGTGTTTGAAAATGACATTTATATTATTATTTTTTTAATATATGTCTAAAAATAACTTCTATTAATTGTCACTTTCATTTGTCTTAATGAAATCAAACTCCCTTTAATTGTACGTATCTTTACTACTCTCCTTTTTATTTTCAATTTATTCCATCCAATTTTATTTCAATATTTATATTATTTTACTACTTAATATTCTTTTATTTATTTATTTATATATATAAAACACAGAAAACGAGAAACGGTTCGTTGAGAAGATTAATATTTCACAAGATAATCATATGCAACTCAATATTAATCTTGACTAAGAGAGAGTTAGCTTATGATTAGATTATAAACATATTGTTCATTAGAGAATCAGTGTATTTATGTATGTAATTACAGGGGCAAAACAATTTTTTTTATCCAAATGTAATTATGAACATCTCATGATTGATCGACTTACTTGTAATGATCATGTGAATTGACACAATTTGTCTTATAGTGCATAAATGTTCAATTGAAGGTCGATAGTGGAATGACGTATAGTTGAAGAATGAAAATTGATTAATTAAAGAGTTTAATTAATTAAATTTGTATTATTGGAACTTATAATCGGTCGATATATAAGGCCCCTTGCTAGCTCACAAGAACTTCTACTCCATAAAAATCTCTTTGTGTTCGAGTTATAGCAAGGAAGATCTTATGAAAGAACTTCTACTCTATTTGATGCAAGCTCATAGGAGGCTTACATCAACTGATGTGTATAAGGATAGAGTTCTTCTGAATAATTTCTTTTAATTCTTAATAAAATCAATTAAGCTCCGAATGTTTTCGCTATAAAGATGAAGAGTTCTTTTTCTTTAGACATACTAGTTCTTGAGATCGGAAAACCAAAGAGCCTACCAAAAAATAAAGTTGTGGGGTCTTCCCGAACTAAAACAAGGTCATCTGCTACTTAGATGGGAGGAAAAGGCTGCGAGGTGACCACAAAATTCCCAACTATGTTCGTTGGCACTTTTGATTCAATTCATTCGAATAAAAGAAGTTGTGACACTCGTGTAAAGGAAGAGTATATAAATGAACTGAGAATACATACAAATGAGAATGATCATGGAGATATGATAGAAATCTTACCATTAGATACTGATAGTTGTCCTCTAACATTACCGACCTTTAAATCTCAGGTGAAGTTATGGTTTAAAATGTTTTAAAGAATTGATATTTATTGTCGAAACCGACAATGTGCACCTTTTTTTATAGTGACTTTATCATAGAAACTTCAAAAGTAAATGTACATCGCTTGGAGCAATTCCATATTAAGTGACCTCTTGAGAATTTTTTTAGGAAGCATAATGAGGAAGAATAACGTGTCTTAAAAAGACTATGTTTATTTGTGAAGATAATATTCACTCTTAAAAACAAGAAATCATTCCATATCTGAAACGACAAGTAGCACCTAAATCTAGAACGAGTTTTCCTTGTTGTTTAGATCTCGACAAGGAATGCTTAGATCTCGACGAAGTTACTCATCATTGTAAAATTTATCAAAGTCATCGATTTAGGATAGGAAATTTATTGGTCAATAATACATATTTTATGACCCTTGAATTATGTTTTAAGAGTGAAAATTATGCTAATTATATCCCAAGAAAACGAAATACACTTTATTGGTATAAATAATAATTTTCATTTCAATTAAGTCTTTCATCTTATTTTTTGAAATTTTTTATTGGAATGTGATATAGGTTCATTCATGTACTCTACTCTTCTTTTACTTGAATGTCGGTTAGTATTTGGTCCTTGAACTATTATAAAATTTCACGTACTCCAAATACTTCCAAATTCATGACATGGTATAAAAATTGGACAGAAAAGTCCCAAAATAGAAATTTATGGGAAAAAAAAAAACTAATGGAAGCATCTAAATTGAAGTAATAAAAAATATATAAATGTGAAAATGAAACAAAATAGGATTTTTTCACCTAAAATTAAAAAAAATAAAATAAATAAGACCGATTAACATGCATGCACCTTCAAAGAAATTAAAAAAAAAGAAAAGAAAAGAAAAAAGCAATAAAAGGAAGACTTTTCAGTTCTTGAAATCAGGTGTAAAAGAAAAGTCATCCAAAAACACAATTAACGCCAATTTAATATGCCAAGAACATTCATCCATGGTTTTCCGAAACCATTAATAATTATTCTTCCTTTTGACATTATTACTTCGTAATTAAACTTCAAAATTAGCTTTATCATGCTTACCAACTCATTTAAAATGTACATTCTTTTATTTTTTATTTTTTATTTTTGTTGGGATCATTGACATGATACGTTAGATTAAACTGATAAATGATGATTTGATTTAATAAACACAACACCTTTAAGTTTCTTCTCTCGATGATTCTTATGAATACCACGAAGAATAATACTTTTTTTTTTTTTTTTTTTTATATTTGTGCTCCAATCAAACAAAGAAAGCAAGTTAAGTAATACGAGATATAACGAATTCTCCATACATCTCAAAAGAAAAAGTGGTTCGCGTGGGAAAAGATGCTTTAACTTTATCTCTCAAAATCAATCATAAGTTGGTGTTTATCTTATCGTAAAGAATAGACTCTTTTGAACCAAGATCCGAGCATAAGTTATTTGTTAGAGAAGTGAGAAAAATGATTGTCATAACCGTCCCTCATTAATCTAATTAATATGTCACATCAACACTTCTAATAATACTAATATCTATAGTTTAATAAAATTATAATCCATACTCTATGGTTAAAATATTTTATAGTTCAAATTAGTCAAAAAAAAATAATTAAAAGTTTATAAAAGAAAAATTAGATAGAAGTGTTAAAAAATCTGGTGATTCAAAAAATTTAATCAATCTAATCTTATCTATACAGTTTGAGTCGAGTTATCAATATCTTTGAGATGAGTTGAATTTAAATAAATATATATTTTATCGTTAGACTTTCATCAACTTAAATTTATTGTTAATTTAAAAAATATATTTTTAGTATATATATATAGTTATTTTATTCTTATTTAATTCTATAATTATTTTTTTATTGTGTATTCTCACCTTAACTGTCAAAAATATTTTTTAGTAATTTAAAATTTAAAATATATATTGAAATTGAATAAAAATAAATCTTAATTAAATGTTTAAAAATAAATAGAGATTATAAAATTTAATATTTTAATTTTATTAAAAATAAAATTTTAAATAAACAATTAGAATCCACCTAAAAAAATTATGTTGGATTCCGTTTATGATTTAAGGACGAACAATTAAATTTAATTTTAAAATTATCTATTCACGAACCCTCCTAATAATAGAGCAAAATTTATAAATTGAATTTATAATTTAACTTTTAAGATAAGGAACCAGATGTCATACATCACATATTTTTAAAAAATACATATATGTATGACCATAAAATTAAAAAAAAAAAAAAAAAAGAATGCTGATGACACATTTAAAAACAACTTGGGTTTACCATTGTTATGGTTATTTTTATAATTAATTCCCAACCAAATTAAAAAAAAAAAAAAAAAAAAAAAAAAAAAAAACGAACAAGCAATCACATTTTGAATGCACGAAAATGAATTAAATTATGAAAAAAATTAAACAAAAACAAT